CAGGAAGTTGTAGATCCTCAATTGGTAATGTTAAAGTTAAATCTGGATGATCAACTAGATGATATTCAATATATATGACTGCCATGAAATTTTAATATAACACTTAATAAATATATATCTCATACCTCTGTTTGATATTTTGTATATTCTAAGTAATGGACAATAAATATTAATATATTACTTAATAGTTGTTCCACTGTCTGTTGATTCACCACTATTAGTTAAAGTCATACTTTCATCTGAAAATGATATATAATCTTTTGTTACTATATCTCAAATTAATTACCATATTTTTTAAATTAGCATAACATTTTATATTGTCATTAAACAAAACTACATATATTATTATACATTAAAATATATACTAAAACTTTCATAATTAGTAAGTGCTGAAAAATTAGACATTACCATCTATATTATCGCTAGTATCTATGATGCATTGTTGAAGTACCGCTATATTCTCCTTCAATGTTTCTAACTGTGCAATATTATGTTTTATTTGATATAGTTCATTTTCTACAGTTTTGACGCATGTTCCCTGAAGAGAAAAAAAAACAAAAAAAAGAAAGATTAGTCTAGACATATTTCCTTCCAATATTTTATATATGAGTAATTTCTCTGACATTTACCACATTGTGAGTAAGCTGCAAAATATCCATATTATTTTCCTTAACGTTGGTAAATGCTTTATAAGTATCTCCTATGTTATTCAAGAATTCTATCGCATCAGTAAACATTATTGTCAAGTCTCTGTAAGAAAGTATCAAGTTTTACAATACTTAAAAAAATCTAAAAGAGAAGGAAAATTCTTACATACTGCGCATAATCATGTGGAACAGGCAAGCCTGAAATATCCTTTGAGGATTGTACAAGCTTGTGTATAGAGTGTTTGTGCCCTGTAATTATACCAAGATGTTTTATAATATTCTCCTTGCACAGTTCTCTTTCTCCTGTGAACAATATTTACGATGTAATCATAACAATTTTCTGTGTATATGTGTATAAAGAAACAGTAATTACTTTTAATGAAAAATAAAAAATGATAAAGAATGCATCTACTTTTTAAATCTTGTAATTCCTTCATCAATTTCTTATGTTCGTCAGATGGTACATCAAGATGTTCCAATTCGCGTTGGTTAATGAGTCTTTTTTGCTGCACGATCTTTATAAAACGTTCTATGTCTTCCATATCATAAATTTGCATAAAAACCAAAAAATATGAGTTTTTAAATAAATTTATATATCAGAGAGATAACGAGACGAGGCTAGCGTTTTTCGCGGGATTCAACTCTTTTTGATGCCCTAAAGATCCCCGACAGCAACGCCTCTACATTCATTTCAATACTACTGGTAAAAACTATGTTCCAAAATTCACTGCCAGACAGCTGCCAGTACTGGAAATGCTAGGCGATAGAGATAGCGATAAGCGATATCCAATGAGAGCACACCTTTTTCGAAAAAGCAGTGCTCTCATTGGATATCGCCTATCGTTATCGCCTAGCATTGTACGATAGGCTTAACTAGCACAATTGACCAATGAAAGGACTTAACATTGTGTCCAATTAATATACATCCATACAGAAAGCGTCCCACAAAAAAGGCCGGCATGGCCACTCTCAGGCTTCTCTCTGGTATTACTATAGTTCACAGTGAACTACGCAGTGAACTGAGTTTGTCGCTTGAAGTAGTGCATTTATTCCATAACGCATTTTTCACGTGTCACGTGTTATCTTGTTGTCTTATTCATTGCAAGTAAATGTATTTTCAATACGTGCTCTTGCGGAAATCTTGGTGTTCAGGAAGTTGAAGCTATCCCGATTTTAAGTCTCTCAAATTTACTTATATTTTTGGTTCATTTTTAGGGTTAATTTAGGGTTAATTTTGGGTTAATATACTTATATACTGGTTTATTTTTTGTTTTCTTAGAATCTTCGTTTTTGTCAAATCTCCACATGTATAATACATTAAAAAAGAAACCTAAGCGAAGCTTTTCAGAAGCTTGGCTTAGTGACGATCGATTTGAGTCTTGGATACGCAAAGTATCATTTGATGATAGCCTTTTCCATTGTGTCATATGCAATAAAAATTTTTCGTGCGGCTTATCACACGTTTTAAGACATGCGGATTCTGCTTGTCATAAAAATAATATCAAAAGAAGTACATCATTATTATTAGATAATGACAATAATGTACGTTCGAATAAAATGATACCACGAAAATGTTTTCAACAACGTTGGTTAGAGATTGATTCGTTTAAGCCATGGCTGCGCGAAGTGTCACATGACGTAAATTCATTTTTTTGCACATTTTGTAATACATCTGTTGTTGGTGGTTTGTCTCAAATCTATCGTCACGCAGAAACCAAAAAGCATATAATGATATGTAAAACAAATAAAACAAACAAATCTAATGAAGATGTGAACATGAACGAATCACTTTTGTCATTCGAAAAGCGAAAGAAATTAGCCGAAATTCGGTATGCCGCTTTAATCGCTGATAAAAATATTTCGAATCAAACGGCAAAAGAACTTCTTACTCTTTTTCAAGAAATAGGAAAAGATTATAATGTTTTGAAAAAAATGAATATGGGTCGAACCAAATGTACAAACATAATTTCAAATGTGTTATGTCCGGTTGAGACGGATCGCGTGGTCAACAGCATTCAAAATACAAAATTTTCAATTTTTATTGACGAAACATATGATATTTCAAATGAAAAATGGATGACATTTCTTGTTCGGTATGTTGATTCGAAAACATTAAACATTTGCTCACAATTAGTAAAATTAATTAATATTGATGCGAGAGATTGCAGCGCAGAAAAATTATTTAATGCATTTAAATCTGAAATGTGGGAACTGAATATTCCATTTCTAAATATTGTAGCCTTATCATGTGACGATACGTCCGTAATGACAGGAAAACATTGTTCATTTCAAAAGAAGCTGGAAGAAATTTGTAGAAATTTAATAACACTTGCATGTCCATGCCATTCCGTTGCATTGGCTGCACATGCCGCAAGCGCTAATATTCCGGATTATTGCAAAGAATTTTTTAAAAAAATCGCGATTTTTATTAATAGTGATCTGAAGTGTTTGGCTGTTTATGGAGAATTCTGTGAATGTTTTCAGAAAACAAATCGAAAATTTTTAAAGCTGTCTGATACACAGTGGCTTTCTCATCATTCATGTATTGAAAGACTTCTTGAGTCTTGGGATACTGTCAAGGTATTTCTGAATGAAATTGCTATAAAAGAAAAAACAAAGTCTGAAATATATTTATTATCTATGATGCAAAAACTAGACTTAAAAGCTTATTTATTATTTTTAAAGCATATTTTACATTTTTTTAATTCATTTAATGCATTTTTCCAAGCTGAGGAAACTAGAATACATTTATTACAGCCAAAATCAGTAGAATTTCTAACCACAGTTTCTAAACACTTTTTAAAATCAGAGCTTTTAAACCATTTGTGTGATAATATTCAATTTACTCAAAAAAGATATCAAAAATCATTAGAAGAAGTTCATTTAGGATTTGAATGTGAAGAGTACCTTGACGAATTAATGAGAGAAGGACACACAGATATAGTTGCAAATGTTCGAGAGAATTGTTTACAATTTTACGTGACTGCCGCCGAGGAAATCAGTAAAAGATTACCGATTAATGATCAATTTTTATTAAAATTAAAAGTTCTCCAATCTGATATAGCTATATTAGACTTTGATAGAGAAACATCATTCAATGATGTTTCTTTTATTGCTGAAACTCTTGGCACTTTCGACGAAAACGGTTTAAAGAAAGAATGGCTTGCTTTACATTTAGATTTTACAATAACAGAAAAAAGACAGTTATTAAAATTAAATTTTGATGATATGTGGAAACAAATTTTAGAAAATCAGTATCCCACTAATATTTGTAAATATCCCAATCTCAAATGTCTTTTGAATGCTGTTAGATCACTTCCAAATTCGAATGTGGTTCCAGAAAGAATGTTTTCTGTTTTAACAAATTTAAAAACAAAAAAACGAAATAAACTTTCGTCTGCCTCTATAAATGCTATTTGCGTTTTCAAATCAGCGTTAAAAACGAAAGGAGAAACTGTTTTAGACATGGAGATTGATGCAAAACATTTGTCCCTTATGTCGTCTGACAAATTATACAATACTCCTCCTAGAAAACGGAAAAGCAGCCTTACATTATGTGCTGCAGATGTTAATGATGTTGCTGGTCCCTCATCATCGAACGATATGCAATAATAAAATGTCAAAGGATAATGAATTGCATTTCATAAGGATAATATTCATATAATACAATAAATAATTGCTTTTCTTATTTTCCTCACACAAGTGTGATGTCTTTTGCGAATATAATGTCTATTATACAAACATGATATTTTTTATACGCCTGTTCTTTACAGGTGTGATATCTTTTGCGGACATAATGTCTATTATAGACATGATATTTTTTATACACCTCTCCTTTATAGGCGTGATGTTTTTTGCGCACATATATAATGTCTATTATACAGACATGATATTTTTTGTGGTCACACACCTGTAACAGACAGGTGTGTAAAAAAATATCATATCTGCAATAGACATTTTATGTCTATAAAAGACATCGCACCTGTAAAGAACAGGCGTATAAAAAATATTATGTCTGTAATAGACATTATGTCCGCAAAGGACATTATACCTGTAAAAGACAGGTATATAAAAAATATCATGTCTATGATAGACATGTCCGCAAAAGATATCACACCTGTAAAGGACAGGCGTATAAAAAATATGTCTGTAATAGACATTATGTCCGCAAAGGACATTACACCTGTAAAGGACAGGTGTATAAAAAATATCATGTCTGTGATAGACATGTCCGCAAAAGACATTACACCTATAAAGGATAGGCGTATAAAAAATATAATCTCTGTGATAGACATGTCCGCAAAGAACATATCACATCTGTAAAGGACAGGCGTATAAAAAATATGTCATATCTGTGATAGACATGTCCGCGAAAAACATCACATCTTTAAAGAACAGGCGTATAAAAAATAGCATGTCTATAATAAACATTACGTTCGCAAAAAACATCACACTTGTAAAGGATAAGCATATAAAAATATTATGTCCGTAATAGACATATGCATTTTATCCTCAAAAGATATCACTCCTCTAAAGTAAAGGCGTGTAAAAAATTAAATGTCTGTAAAAGACATAAATGAAATGTGGTATAATAGGGCTCCAGGCGAAGGTCCACTTTACAAAACCTAACGCGCCATTAAGTGGAACCTCATAGGTGGTGTGGAAGTCCACTATTCATTAAAATAACGTAAACGCTAAAATAACGCAAATGCTAAAATAATGTAAACGCTAAAATAATGTTAAGGCTAAAAGGTCTGGCAGACTCCAAATGGTAAACATAATTTGGGATAATCCTAAGTGGAAAACCTATTTTTCTTACTTCCATTTCCTTACAACTCTCGTTTAAATGTTATATAATACAAAAAGGCTGTAAAAACATTTAATGTTATCATGCATATCAAGAAGAGCAGCGTCACACGTCGCCTTCGTTGCCGGTTTGGTAGGAAGGCGACAGAAAATGGTATATCTGTTCTCTTCTGCTGTCTGAAGTGTTGATCCAGAGAGAAGCCTAATGAAGGATTCACACTGCATCCGATTTCCGATGTACGACGTCCGATATCCAATAGGAGAGTTTGTTTTACATAAAACAAACTTTCTTATTGGATATCGGACATCGTACATCGGAAATCGGATGCAGTGTGAATCCTCCATAAGAAGGGCCATTCTACAATACATCGCAAATGCTTCATGCTTCGTCGTCAGTCGCGAAAGATAGCAACTACTAATATAAAAGTGCTGTTTCTGATTGCGTTTGCCAAAAAAAGTTGAAAGTTGATCAACTCTCTTTTGGCAGGCTACTAAGCGTTTAATATAATACAATTGTGTTCAATTATAATTTGATATATATTACAATGATTAAAATCAATAGTTGTGTGACCATGTGTGATCGAGTTATTGGGATATATACAAATTTAAAAAAAGATACCTAAATAAATAGTTAAACTATTTGAAGTTTTCTGTTTTATATACAGAAAGTTTTATACATATAAAAATATGATTAAACAAATGTGTCTATATGATAAAGTATAGTATTGTGAATTAGTTAAATATTCATAAAGGGATATTTTTTTCTTGCACTGATCTTCCGACTATTCACATATTCCACATAATTATTTAAAAATGACAAAGTAAATGCAAGAAACAATCAATATCACTAGAATAAGAGTGAGAATTAAGAAGAAAAGTTAACAATAAGAACATTAATCTTGATAGCCTTATAATATGGATAATTGACTGTAATATATGGTTTTCCCAGTTTATAATTTATTGATTTATTTGTTCTTGCAGTGAGAAAAGACCCTAGAAAATATGCCAGAGTAAAAGATCTTCTAACAATGAATGAAGAACTTAAGAAAGCAAGAAAAGCTTTTGACGAGGTTAAATACGCAGGTACTGTCAAAGATTAGACAATTGTAATGTTATATTATTGAATGTAAAACATTTAGAAACTTAGAGAGATAAATTTAGTTGAATTATATTTATATAATTATTTAAATAATTCAAATCAGCATGATCAACTTGCAAGTAGTATTAATATAGTTTGATGTACATAATTGATTTGCATACATATTTTGATCAAGATAAAAATAATGTTTTTAACTAGTTAAATTTATTGCTGGGCAAATGTTGCTTTATTTTGCAATAATATTATGCTTGCAAGTAAAAATTTGTTTATTCTTTTGTCATGGATATTTGACAAAAATCTTTTTATATTTTTAAATACAAAGAAGTACACAAACTAAAGTAAATTCGTTTTCAATAAATATGTGATAAAATGTTAAGTTTAATATATAATTTTGCACTCTATTACCAAATATATTATTTGATAAGAATATCACAAGTGTGACATTTTGCAGAAAATGTTTTTTTTTCATGTATATATAAGGACTAAAAGAAAACTAGTTTTTCTGATTAGCTCTTAGAAGTTCTTTATATACATATATATATATTATTTTTATTTATGTATTAATAAACCTAATAAAGTAACATATTATATATATTTTACACAAATGCTAATTATATTTTACATTTAATACAACTCCATACAAAATACATTTTGCTATTCCATTTTCATATGTCGTTTTGTATAATGAAATATACTAATTTACTATTATTATTGCTTAAACTTATAAGAAACTAAAAGCTTTATATATTTTGTTATATTACAATTCAAATTATAATTTATAATTTTTGTAATTTATATTATAATTCATTCAGCAATTATTGCCTTTTCTTTTAGTCTCGTTTGTATATTATTGTTATACAGGTTTGCAAAGTTATGTTTTCTTGCATGGTTTATAATTGTTACAATTCAGCATGTACAGTGTTTGCATGTAGTATTATTGTTTGTCTTTTATGTGGTGCTATGAGCCCCTCTCGCAGTTTTACATTTCTCGAGCAATCCCATAGTTACTCTGTACAATGTCACAAACGGCCTGTTTTGCTGACAGAATAACGTCATTGAGTCCCACACCTTGGTAAGAAGAACCGCACAGTCCCAGGGGAATATGACGCGCGGAAATGTAATTGTGGATGCGTTTTATACGTTGGGTATGACCCACGACATGCTGTGGAATACAGTCCTTCAAAACGGCAACGTTATGTGCGACTGGTTCCTCTTCGATATGTAAGATCTTTTTTGTATGATCAAGCGCCGTTGTTAATAGATGTTCCTCAGATGGATTCGGGCCGAAATATTTTTCGAACCAAGCACCGCCCATCATAACTGTCAGCACCTAAACCGTTGTCGCAAAATTCCTATATATATAAAATGTTGGACACGATGATGTATAATTTAATATTCTCAATTTTGTATATATAAAAATAAAAATTATAGAAGAAACTGCGTGTGTGGAAATTGGATTGCTATACATGAATCAAATAAAGATCTAAAAATCTAAAGTCCTGAGGGAAAATAAAACTGTTTCGGAGTATAGATACTGTAGAAGCATACATACTGTAGAAGACTTTTGAGGGAAAACGCAGGAATCAAAAATTACACCTAGCAGAGGAAGATTCTCTTTCGGTGGTACGAGAAAGCCAAATGCCTGTAATGGTAATATATCCCTCTGAAATTCAAAATTAACTACTCCTACTGTTACGGTAGGTATCGCCTCTAATTCTGCAGACAGTATGGGATATTGTTCCCGCACTAGTTCAGCCAAGTTCTTCGCGGGTAAACTCGAAATAATGCGCGAACATTCTTGAATATTGCCGTTAATTAATAGTTCTATGCGATTTGATTTAAATGTAAGTTTTTCACACTTTGTCTCAGTTTGTATATTTACTCCTCGCTTTTTCAGATTATTGGCCAATGCCTGAGGTAATTGTTCGAGTCCTCCCTCCAGGCTCCACAATGCCCAACCTTCCTTTTGAGCTCTATCTGCTAAAGTCAGATGTAAACTTGCAGACTCACTGTCCGTATTATTTTCTTTTATTGCGTCATTTTTCGATTTTGAAAAAATGTTTTTTAGTCGATTTGCCAATACGCCTTTTACTATAGAACCGTATTTCTGTTCCGCCTCGAATAGAGATTTGAACAAAAAATTAACACTAATTTTCCGCGCATCTCCTGCACATATTCCACAAATTAAAGGACTGATAAGATTATCCGCAACGTCTTGACCTAATCTTCTTTGAACGAAATTATAGACACTCTCATCCTCTTTGGATACCTTGGGAGCCGTCAAGTCGGTCCATAGACAGTTTATCAGAGGACGATCTAACAATGAAGTCGTTTTGAAGATACCCTTCAACGAAGATGGTAACAGATGCAATGTCTCATCTGCGTAGATTAATCTATTCCGCGTCGCGGGATGACTTGGTCCGATATGAATTAATTTGTTACTCAATTGAAGATCCTCCACCAAGTTAAGAGTATTTTTTCCAGCTAATCCAACTGGTCTAACAGTTCTCGGTCCTTGCTCAAATATTGCTCCAGTTGGTGATTTTCTACTTCGTATCCATCCACCCACGCGACTGGACGCTTCCAATAAAATGATAGCCGAATTTTTTGCATTATTAGCGGCATAATAAGCTGCTGATAGACCTGATATACCACCCCCTAATACTATTATCATTTTAATATTAGTTAAAGAGATAATTCCTATAAATATTAGCACAATATATCGTGCAATTAAATGCAATCTTGATTAAATATATGTTATTTTATATATGCACTAAAAATATATATCTTATTATATATCATAAAAAGAATTTTATTCATGAATGAAATATAAATATGTGCTAAAATTATTGATAAGATAATTTAAGGATATAAGAATATCGCACATATATATATAAAGCCTAATAAAATTTAAATATTTTAATACTATTTAGGCATTACTATTGCATTTTTTTCTTTCTTTTTATGTGTAAACATTATTCAAAAGAAATCAGAAAAACGATCACATTGAAAATAATTTGTAGGTTATCTACTATGAGCATAGATATAAAATACATAGACGGGGCATTAGCTGCCAATATGAGAGTCATGGGAGTAAAGCCCGTATCAGACTACGCATTGAAAATTGAAGATTGAAGATTAAAGATTGGAATTTGACGAATCAGAACAAAAGAGACTAAAATTTCTTTATTCTGATTGGTCAAATGTCAATCTTGAATCTCAATCTTCAATGCATAGTCTGATACGAGCTTTAGGAAGCTTTAGTGCCGGTCTACAATAGGTGATTTAAGATTTAGCCTTTGTTTTAAGAGAAAAATTACATCGATCCTAGCTTCAAGCTCTAAGCTTTAAAAGATGGGAGTTGGCCAACTCGCTTAGGGCTTAGAGATTAGGGCTTAAGGCAGCGCGAGAAATGTTTAAGTGCCGAAATACGTCATAGTTTAGAGGTTAAGTCATAAGGTTTAGGGCTTAAATCGCCTATTGTAGACCGGCACTTATACTTCACCTTTAAGACTTTAATCAATTATATATAGATGAATATATAATAAGTATCTTTGCGTAAACGCGAAAAATAGAATAAAAATCAATAAAATAAGGAACATGCGCACCACTCTTTATGGAATAGTAAAATGCGCGCAATAATAATTTGTTGAAAACATTTTTATTACACCTTTTGCTAATAATTATCAACTTTCAATATCATCCAAATTCTTAATATAACATAAAAACAATAATTTGATATCAAGTAAAATCCGAGTAAAAAGGCAAAAGAGCCGCGCGCAGTTTTTAGGGCGCAAAGGTATACCTTTACGCCCTAAAAACTGCGCGCGGCTCTTTTGCCTTTTAACTCGGATTTTATTTGATTTTAATCGTGTAAGAGCCTTACTTTTATATCTTTTTAATGATCTTTTT